TCTTTCCCTGAGGAATTCTATTTTAGGACAACATTTGAGGATAACCAAATAACCCTAGTTAATGAGAAAAAGCTCATTTTTACAAAAGAATGGTGGTCAACAATAAATGTAAAAAGAACTAGAAAAATAACCACTTTGCAACTTCTAATGAAATAAGTGACTCAAGCAAAGATGTTAAAACACATGAGTAAAAGGCTGATGGGAAATTGGAGCTATAGGCACGATTTCACACTCCACTAGTATTTGTTACCAGTTCCCCCATAGTTACTTGCTCTTGCAAAGGGGAAAATATTACTTTCCAACATTACTTTACAGGCTGTCAACTGTACTCAATTTTCTTAGCACTACCAGACATCATGGGCTTCCTTATTTGATGCAATGTGATATACACAGGGTCACCTATCAAGGATTCTGCTCCCAAATATTTAACCTGAACCTAATCAAGCCTTCAGACCTAAGTTCCAGTTTACAAAAACTACAAGAGTTAGAGAAAGAAGACGAACGACAACCACAAGAAAAGTTAATTGTTAAAGGGGGAATCCTCTAGGATCATTACTGGCCTAGCCTCTTCAAGTCAATGTCAAGAAAAACAACTGAGGGGAAGGGAGGGAATTCTATTTTAAATTTAAAATTGAGAGAGAATTAAAAGTCCTAACACCCGACACCACAGAGATTTTTAGGGCAATGAAATTATTCTGTATGATACTATAATGGTGGATATTTGTCATTATACATTTGTTCAAACCCACAGAATCTTCAACACCAAGAGTGAGCCTTAATACAAACTATGGACTTTGGTGCTAATGATGTGCCAATGTAGTGTTATTGATTGTACCAGAAGTACCATTCTGTTGCACCAGGTTGATGGTTGGGGAGGCTGTACATGTTGAGGGCAGGGTGGGTATGAGAAATCTCTGTACCTTCTGCTCATTTTTGCTGTGAACATGAAACTGCTCTAAAAAATAGTCTATTTTTTAAAAAGTTCAAATAACCAAATCCAATGCATAGCTTTTGACTGGATCTGGGTTTTTTTGTTTGTTTTTGTTTTTACTTTATTTTATTCAGGTATAGTTGATTTACAATGTTGTGTTAATTCCTTCTGTACAGCAAAGTGATTCAGTTTTATATATATATATATATATATATATATATACACACACACACACATACATACATATATAATTCTTTTTCATATTCTTTTCCATTATGGTTTACCACAGGATATTGAATATAGTTCCCTATGATAAAAAACTGTTTTAAAAAGCATTTATGGGAACAATTGAGAAAATGTGACTATGAAGTATGCACCAGATGATATGAAGAAATATTTATTAATTTTGTTACGTGTGATGACATATATTGTGGCTATATAGAAAAATATCCTAATATTTTAGAGGAGCGTATTTAAATATTTATAGGTGAAATACCCTGATGCTTGTAATTTACTTTACATATTTCAGAAAAAAGGAAACATGGCAAAGTATTTAAAATGTTAAGTGAAACTTAAAGCGTTAAATCTGGGTAGTGGATATATGGATGTTCCCTGTACTAGTCTCTAGTTTTCTGTGTAAGAATTTTACCTTGACTAGTAGTAAAGAGAAATGAAAGAGAATAACTGTATCAATGTTATTCAACGTGAGGCCCACCTAAAGTATCTCATCCCTCACTTGCAGAAACACTGGATTAGATTATTCCAAGTGCCCAGTGCTCTTCCTTTCCTACCCAATTCAATCTCCAGAGAAAAACGTAATCCTGTCACTAGCCTGCTCTCAATTTTTCCAGGTGCTTCATCATCCATCTAAATAATGGGGAAAAATGTAAACTCCACAGCACAGCAAAGTTTTTTCAAGATCTGCTCAAAGACCCCTTGAGCCACCTTATACATAATTCACTCATTTAAAACTCACAACAATCTTACAAGTAGGGACACTTACTATTCTCACTTTTCAGATAAGTAAACAGGCAGAGACAATGTGACTTGGCTTCCTAATTCTGATTCTGACTCCAGAGGCCACATGTCACTCGCAATAACATCCTGGTCCTGGCACATGGCAGGTGCTCGATAAATGCTTGTTAGGTGACTAGTGTGCAAGAGCTTAGTTCTCCTTTTTCATCTGATCCCGAAAAGAGGTGTACACCCTGATCATGTCTAAGAGCCACGGCAAGTCAGAGACGTCTGTTACTGTCACTCCCGGGCGTCCGGCTCGGTACTGTTCACCCCCCGTTTCTTGACGACTTGAGTGGGGTCACTTCTCCAAGGGCTGCAAAACCTTTTCTTACTTCATTTCTTTTTTGGGGTTAGACTGGGGAACAAGGAGGTGTCAAAGGCCACTGGTTCCCTGCCAGGACGGGAGCTGAAGGGAAGGACGGCCCTACTGAGTTGAGTCCTTAACTCACCCTGCGCAGCCCCCACGACTAGGGACGGGAGACCCAGGCCCTCACCCCGGCGTCGGGGACCTCAGCCTGCATCTCCAGCGGGGTCCCTCCGGGGAGAGGAGGGGGTGGACACGGGGCCGCCCCGGGCCCGCTTACCTCGTCCCGGCACTGCTTCTGGCACATCTGGCAATACCAGCGCAACTTCTGAAGCCCCTTGGACTTGATCCTGTTGGCGATGGCCTTAGGGGTAAGAAAATCTGATTTCCCCATCGCGCCCTCCGCAGCAACAACTTTCCGCAGCACAGCGCCTGGTTGACCGGAAGCGGAACAGGGCTGGCGGGGGTGGGCAGGACAAATACCCTCGTCTAGTCTGAAGGAGGTGGGGCTTCGGAAGCCTAGGCACCACCCCCCCCCCAACGCTCGCGAGGCTTCGTTCCATCCTGCGTGAAGAAGCGAGACTGAATGAGACAACGGGGTAGGCGGGGCGTATGGGGCAGCTTCCGCGCAGGCGCGGTGAGGCCTGTCTGACCGACCTTCAGCAGGGCCGGAATCACCATGTTTTCTCCGGCGGGCTTAGCAGGGCTGTCGGCCTGGGCCGTGCAGCCGCAATGGTATGGCAGCTCGCGGTGGGAACGGGAGGGTTACGGCGGATGGAGGGGCTCAGGCAGGGGGCAGAGGAAGCGGGTGGAGGCGAGTGGGACGGACCCGGGGTCGCAGGGCCAGCCAGGCCCGGGTCCCGCAGAGGCCCCGGAGCCCGGGCTGCAGGAAGCGCTCGGAACCGGGAAGGGCGCGCCACGTCTTCGGAGGCGGGCTGGGGCGGGGTGAGGGCCACGAGGAGTGCTCATCTGGGACCTCGAGAGAGGGGCCTTGGGCCCAGTTAATTTCAGGGCAGTCTTGGATCCCCTCAGCTACTAAGTAAATGTTTAGGGAGCCTTTGCTGCGCGCCAGGTGGCGAGCCTCTGGGAGGCCTTACCCGGGCCCTCAAAGTGGGGCAGGGGAGGGCCCCAGGGAAGGTCCAGCGGAAGGTTAAGGTGTGCTTTTTGTCCTTGACGCCTTTTGAAACTCTCCGGTGCAGAGCGCAGTAACGCACAACGCGAACTAAGCAGCGACCTTGCAGCAGGCGCTTTGCTGGGCCCAAGTGAATAAAATAACTGCCCTCGTGGGTTGCAGAGGGGACCTTAAATATCTGTTGGCGAGGAAGGGGAAGAGACCTTGCGTTATCTCGAAACCGTTGTGCTGAATCAGTAACCCTGCAAGGTCATGATATCGTCCCAATGCCCCGAGGAGGAGGAGATAGATGGACTTCTATGCGTCATCTGTTCACTGCCATGCAAGTTTTAGGGATTTTAAACATTGGTTTCCCCCCACCCCCCAGAAAAAGCATCTTAGAAGGCCTAGGAATAGGCAGACAAACGTTGGTTTGTATGGTACCCTGTAATAGGATGAGATGTGATGAAGCTAGACAGAGTCTGGAAGAATTTCAGATACAGTGCTAAAGGGTTAGCTATAGACTGTAGCACTTCCCCGGTTTTACAGTAAAGGAGAATTCTAAGGAGCCACCCCACTAAACTAGATTTTTGTACCTAATTTATGAGAAGGGACTATAAAGCCTTAATTAAAATAGGTATGTGTTCATTAAGCAAAAAATTTATAACAATAAAAGGTTTTCAGCTTAATGAAGTAATTAAATCTGATGTGAAAAACCTACATACAAATGTTAGTGGATTTGCCTTGGAATTCAGAGTTTCTTTCTCCTAATATTGAAAGAGTATTCATGGGAAGTAAGAACCTTAGTTGGATTCTCACTGGTATAGGTTGTCCCATTTCTTAATCACTCAGCGCACATTTGTTGGGTGCTTGCCCTGCGCCAAGTTGGCACTGTGGAAAGTGCTAAAACGTGGTGAACAAATCGACATGATCCTGGTGAGCTTTGTGGGATAGTTCCTCACATGCAGTGGTGCTCTGCAAACATCACCTCTCTTTCCTTCCTTCCTTCCCATCTTGCTGTGCATTAATGTTATCTGTAAATATTTTTAGAACTTTAAGTTATCCAAGTTGATCTTTAAAAATGGACAGTTTCTGAAATGAGGACAAAATACGTTACATAAAATTGTAAAAATAGGGCTTCCCTGGTGGCGCAGTGGTTGAGAGTCCGCCTGCCGATGCAGGGGACACGGGTTCGTGCCCCGGTCCGGGAAGATCCCACGTGCCGCGGAGTGGCTAGGCCCGTGAGCCATGGCCGCTGAGCCTGCATGTCCGGAGCCTGTGCTCCGCAAGGGGAGAGGCCACAACAGTGAGAGGCCCGCGAACGAGAAAGAAAAAAAAAATTGTAAAAATAACTTTTAAAAAACCTGTAAGATCTTTTGAAGATCTTTTAGTAAAGAAGCATTTAAGCGCTTGCTGGGTCTGAGACAACTACTGCGTGGGGTGGGGCTTAAACTGGAACCTCAGTCAGCAAATAAATGTCGAAGTCCTGACCTTACTCCCTTTGGAGTGTTAGTTTTAAATTGTTAGGTTATGAATATTCATCAAACGTCAGTTTCCACTTTGCAAGGCATACTCTGTCCTCTTCCTTTTCATACATTCCATCACTCTAGGTGCCTGCTGTCTTTCCTGCCTCTTCTGCCTTTTCCCTTCCACCCCCTATAATTGCCTTTTAAATTCAGAAACTAAAGCCATCTTAATGTTTCACATGCCACAGAATTAATTTGGAAGGGAAATACATTATACTTTTGTCTTTGCAGAACCAGAAAGAGGCATTTCCTCGGTTGTGTTTTGGTTATTGAACGCTTTTTAAAATGCAGTTTGTTGTTATAGTTTTGGTTTCAAGGAGGTTAGCATACCAACATTAACTAAACATTAGGCTTAATTAAACTTATAGTGAAGTTTTAATTGTTCAGGGTGTCAGTAAAATACCATAAATTTTTGGAAATTAAACTTTTTTTAAAGTAGTATTTAAGAAAATGGAAATAAGAAATTTGGGGGTGAAAGAGTGATTTTTCTATCTCAAATCAGAGGGAAATACATTTCTATTTGCTAGTGTTCCACATTGTCTAAAATGGAACTATTTTATAATAGGAAACCAGTAGGCCGTACGTTGAACTATGGACACTGAAAAGGCAGAAAGATGGCATTTCAGGGGAGAGAAGAGAGGCCATCATCTGAGGCTGACATAGCAGATATTTACTTTTAAACGTGAGGCAGCAGCCTGTAGTGTACCCGTTGGAGTGGTGCCAAACTGCCCGGCTTTGAATCCTGACCCCCACTCACCTGGCAGTGTGGCCTTGGGCAAGTTACTCAGTGTCTCTGTACCTTTTCCTCATCTGTTAAATGGGGGTAATGCTAGTACCCCATTCATTGGATTAGTGTGAGGATTAAGGGAATCAGTATTTGTAAAGAACCAAGGACAGTGGGAAAAATGCTTGTGAAGATCCAGATGTATCAGTTGAAAAATGAAAACGAATTTATACATACACGTTCTACATAAAATGTAATGTGAGAAGATTAGAAGCCTAACAAGACTGAATTGTGTGTCATGGTTGGTGATAGAGTTCTGGGGAGTCGCTTGGTGGAGAGGCCAGGGTCGGACTTTCACCCAGGCATTCAGTGTTAGAATTAGACATACTTCATAATTTTCTTTTCCTCAGGAATTAGTGGATGCTGCTTCTTCCTTAATTTTTATATTATTCAGCGTTATACACTCCTTAAAATTCATTCAAGCTGTCTGTAATTTCTTTGAATGATACATAGTTCACCCACGAACCTGCTGTGTGATCATAGTGGATCATGGTAGTCCGCCATCTATCTGTGCGATTTGCCCTCTGCTGTATTTGACGTGTTTCTAGTTTCTCAGATAATCTCCCGAGAATTTTTTAGGACATGATGCAATTTTCCAGAACACAAAACTGACACAGAACTTCCTTTATCTTCTCATTTGCAAAAGCTGTATATTCAGTAGAGCAGTCTGTCGCTAGAGGGAGTTCAGATCAGCTCGTGGTTATTTTGCACTCAAATTGTACTTAAAAAATAACTTTGTAATACAGATAGACGTGTTTAGAATTAAATGAATTCTAAACATGAGAGTGCTTCAAAATTGGGGAAATTAGGATGTGTGCACAGCAGAAAGAATCACAAAAGATCCTGTATCTTCCTGCATACCTCTCATTTGGGATACGTGTGGAGACCCGAACATTCTGTATTCATTCAGGTATGGCATGCAGTTCAGATTTTGTCCATATGATATGCTCTGACTAGAAACCTGTGTCAGTTAAATGGAGTGCATGCCTAAGACCATACTGTCCCAGTGTCACTCTTTATAGTCTCTAAATTTAGAATGTCTGGGCAAAAAAGTTATTCCAAAAAAAGAAAATCATCCCCAAAATATTACTTTTCAAGTGCCATGATGAAAAAATGTTCATGGGATGGTCATTATGTCGATAAGTCCATCCTCTGAAACTAGCAGAGCTTGTCAATGTTTGACAGCTTTTATCTTTGCCTTTGGGGGATCCGCTCTTAAAACCAAACCTGATGTTTTCCAGGTAGTCTCCTTCCTCTTATTTTCTTTATTTTTCTTTCTCCATGGCTGAGTAATACCAGTAGTAAGATACATAAGTCAAGAGATGTTTAAAAAATAACTGTTCTGGTTATGAACTTTCAGACTTACTTTTGTGCACATAAACACATAGAATCACAAAAATGGCATCATATCTTATAGCCTGCATTTTTAAGTTATTATAAACTTTTTTTAGTCTGTTTTTTAGTACAGTTTTAGATTTGTAGAAAAATTGAGTAGCACAGAGAGTTGCATATACCCACACCCCACTCTGGACATTTTCCCCAGTCATCAACATCGTGCATTAGTGTGGAGTGTATACTACAATTAATGAACGCGTGTTGATGCATTATTAACTAAGGTGCATAGTTTCATTAAGGACACTCATTTTGTTGTATACTTCTGTGGGTTTTGACAAATGCATGGTGACATGTGTCTTCCATTACAATATCATGCAGAATAGTTTCACTGCCCTAAAAATCTCTCCCTAAAATCCTGGCAACCACTGATATTTTTATTGTTGCTATAGTTTTGTCAGTTCTGGAATGTCTTATAATTGGAATCATACAGTATGTAGCCTTTTCAGATTGGTTTCTTTCACTTAGCGATATGCAGTTAAGGTTCCTCCATGTCTTTTTGTGGCTTGATGGCTCATTTATTTTTATTGCTTAATACTCTCCAACTGTATGGATGCACCTGTCTGTTTATCCATTCATTC